TAGGTCTACAAACATAAGCACACCATGATAAGAAGCTCTAAAGCACATAATGTTATTTTCTACTCAACTTTCAAAATCTTGTTGGGTACGAATGATCTCATCACTTGTAAGTGTTTCTCTTCCCAACTTCTACCCCTTAAAAGAAATGAAGGCATTTCTTTTAAGGTAAAATTAAAAGATGATTTTCATCATTCATACCTCATTTAATATTGTTGATTGAGTACCCGGCTTTTCCATTGTTCACACCTTTAGTTTAACTTATCATGTATCATACTTTACAACTTTCTATTTATTGCTCCTTCCTTATGGATACATAACCAACTTTTATAACAATTGATTCATGTGTCTTTTAGTAACATTAAAGTGACCCATAATGCTCTAAGTCAGGGTTTTATCTCATATACGGATTCATAACAGAAGATCTCATTATCATAAGTCCACCTATTTTCTTGTCTGGTTGTCAAATCCATATTAGCATTAATACTCAAACCTAGTACTCAGTTGTACTTGAGTTTTCTTGGTTCGCGTCATCAGGTTGCATAACCTGGAAGTTCTGAATCTTGTATCCTTGGTTCATCTGTGTCCCTCACAATTCCAACCACTACGTGTTGTTCTTACTCAACCTCCAGAGTGTTATGAGTTCTTATAACATCGTATTATCACACTTTCATATCCTTCTTAACATCTAACCTTTAAAAGAAATCAAGGCATTTCTTTTAAGGTCCAAATCACCTTATGATATATATATATATATATATATATATATAATATATATATATATATATATATAGATATATATATATATATATATATATATATATAGGTTCATTTGAGACCATGATAATTTTATGAGACATGGGGACGCGATCCTGGCCACTCATCTTGGAGATCAAAATAATAATATATATATATATATATATATATATATATATTTATAATGCAAATAATAGGAAAAATCCAAAAGTTCTTTTTTTAAATATTATTTTTGTTATTTAATTTATCCAAAAAAAATAAAAATAAATAAAATCACCGTTTTTTTCGTAATATGAGTGAGATATTCTTATAAATAATTACACTGTAAATAATCAAATCGGATTTTTAGAATATAAGAATATTCTAATATTCTACTAAAATTGATGAATATGTTAAAACATTCTAATATTCTACTTGAATTTTTAGATTTATTAGAATATTCTAATATTCTATTAAATTTTTTTGAATATTTATAGTTTAATATTCTAGTAGAATATTCTAACGTTATAAAAATTCGACTTGAATATTTACAGTATAATATTATATCAGAATATATCACGTATTTTTTTTTGAAAACAACAATAATTTTTTTTATTTCTTTTTTTTTTTTGGATAAAAAAATGACGAAATTAATATTTAAAAAAAAATCGAATATTTTCATTTATTTTGCATTTTAAAAATATTTTTTTTTATCTTCAAAATGAATGGTTAGGATTGCGTCCCCATGTCTCACAAAATATGATGTTCTCACATAACCTAACTATATATATATATATATATATATATATATATATATATATATATATTATATATAGGGAAAAGTGAATATACCCTTAAGGGTATATAAGCTTAAGTACCCAAACTCATCATACTACGTCGTTTTGTATCATATATACATTATAACGTTCTTAAACTTCAACCCTTGATTTATTTTCAAAATTTTTGAAATTTCACTATTATATTCCTCTTATATCACATCTTTTTGTTGAACACCTAGTAAACTATATATATTATACGTGAAAATAAAACTTATGTAAGAGGAAGATAATTGTGAAATTTATAAAAATGTTAGAAGAAAATCAAGTTAGAAGTTGAATTATAAGAACATTGACCGATTACAATGTATATATATGACACAAAACGACGTAGTACGGTGAGTTTGGGTACTTAAGCTTATATACTCTTAAGGGTATATTCACTTTGTCCCATAATATATATATATATATAATATATATATATATATATATATATATATATATATATATAGATAATATATATATATATATATAGGCGTAGGTTATTCTATTCTAACTAATTATGGTGCGGATATCGTATGCTATGATAATGATAAAGAAATATGTTGTTTAATATATAATACGTTCAATCTTACATAACTATTGTCATTAACACACGTTCTCACTAATTAATTCGTCTATAAGGTTATTATACACTTATTATTATTATTCTTATTTCTGTCAGAACGTTTATTGGGTCGTATTCTGTCAGAATGAAAATGAGTGAAAAACGATGTGTGTGAACCAAAATAAATAATAATTAGCGAGAATGCATGAAAATGACGATATTTTTGTAAGGTTGAACGTATTCGCATTGGTAAACAATGTATTCTCTTAGTAATTCTGATAGCATACGATATCTGCACAATAATTAGTTAGAATACTTGAACTAGCTCTCTCTCTCTCTCTCTCTCGATATATATATATATATATATATATATATATATATATATATATATATATATATATATATAACTTCCATGTTATAATATTAAAATTTTAGAGAGCTAAAAATGATCTTTTGTAGACATTTCTACACTGGTGTTCATCAACACACACAAAAGTTCATTTTTAGCTCTCTAAAATTTAATATTATAACATGGAAATTATCTATATATATATATATATATATATATATATATATATATATATGTATATATTATATATATATATATATCTATATGGCTTAGGTTATTCTATTCAAAGTAATTATGTGTTATTGTATGCATACATGTGGCCAATCAATTTTACTTATTTTAAGAAAGTGATTAATATATATTATTGAATTAAATATAATTGAAAAAAAATCATCTAATTAAATTACAATGGTATTTTAGTCAATTAATATAGATTTAATAAAGGAAAATTGCATATTTTAAGGGATCATAGATTCTATTAATTTTAAAAATCTGATTTTACGAATTATAATTCTTTTAATTCGGACATTCTGACAGAATATGTGTATGAGTATATTCAAAAATAAAAATATTCTTGAACCATAAATAATAAAAATATTCTTAAACCTATTTCTTGATCATGACTTTAAAAACTTCTTGTAGAATAACAAATTCTTGATCAATTGAAGAATAAAAACAATAAATACATAATTTCTTATAGAATATGAGTAACAATTGTTAAGAATTAATACATTCTAAAAGAATAATGTTGCTTAGAATCACTTTCAATTTTGTGGTCCGTTCTTCAAGCATCAACTTCTGTGAAAACAAAACCAAATTGTAGTTTAGATTCCAATAATGCATTAGCAAATGAAAAATAAAAAACTAAATTCATTTGGAAAAATATGTGGACTTGTGAATTGCACCAAAACCAATAACCAAGAATTGTAGAACATGCATACTCCATTCCAACAGAATTATAATTCATGATTCAATCCAATAGAATTGGAATTCGTGATTCCTTTAGCATGTACAATAAATCAAGAACCTTCCAACAGAATTATACTCCAGGGTTCTCTCTGGACCTTTTTATACCTGGCTATTGGGATAATTTGTCCATTAAATAAGGAACATGTATGAATTTTATATAAAATAATACAATAGTATATAAACTTACAGGAAGTGTTGGATTATGGTAGTCATTTTCAAATACTGTATCAAGATCACGAAATAAACGATGTTCTGGTGTGTCATAGCATCCATCACAGAGGTACAAACCACCAATAAAAGCAGAGATCTTTCTATAATTTCCATGGGCTTGTGTGTCCACTATAACACATTTTTGATGATGGGTGTAAAGGGTCCCAACCACCTGTGTATATCATTTTGGAACTTTTCAGAAATCTTTAGAGTTTGGGAATGGTAGCATTTAGAAGTCTAGATAAAAGAGAAACAATGAAGATGAATTAAAAACAGATGTTAGACAAAGGATTTGAGATGAAATTCATACCGTTTTGATTCTCTCCGTCCAATTCGATCTCCGGTAACTGCCCCTCCTGGAGGTGCGCGTCCTGATACAGCGTCACATTCCCCCCCGAGCTCTCACTCACACGGAAATAACTATCCTTCAGGCCAAATAACTCATCGGTAGCAATTGATTTTCCTTGTTTCGATCACACAAAATGTGAATTTGATCCGTAATCGTATTGGCGGTGTTTAGGTTTTGCCGGTTTACCACTATGACCAATTATCGGGAACCAATCGTCGATTAACTCTCCCGACATTACGCTCTCGGCGGAGGAGTGAAAAACGATTGCCAGAATCACAACATCAATCCCTAGAATCTGGTTGTTGACCAAAGTCTTCTTCTATGTCGTTCATTCTCTCGTTCCTACTTTAGTCGATCATATGGGGGCGATGGTAGCTTGGTGGTGGGTGATGGTATTGATCGGCGGCTGTGTATATAAGAAAATAAATTAGGTTAAAAGTTAATTCTAGCATGATTATAGGGACTATTGGTGGACACTATTTATCAAATTACTAAAATACCCTTGTTTATTTATTTAATTATTTAAATTTTTTTTAATTTTGATTGGTCACATTTATACATAAAAAAACACAATAATTACTTTAAACACTTGAACCTGCTCATATATATATATATATATAATATATATATAGATATTATATATATATATATAATATATATAATAAATAAAAATTAGAGAGCTAAAAATAAACTTGTAGACATTTCTACATTAAACATAACTCAGCAAGAGAAGGACCATTAACGCTACAATAACAAAAACTAAACAAAGGAATTATGGGTCGTTTGAGAACTCCTTGGATGAAATTACGTTACAAATAAACCAATCACAACCTTATGATCAACATAATCTCCACATGGGTTTTCGTTACGTGTTTGTTGCTCTGGGTATGATTCGCATGACTTTGATGTCGTCTTCGTCTTTACCAATGACAAACTTTAATTCAAGATGGGGATAATAAAGACGCATCTTTTATACACAAACCAAACTAGACAGAGCATAACATACCAATGGCGCTGTTACGGCCACCACCTACCATCGCATTCCACCAGAAACTTCACCACCGTCACCCTCTACCATGTTCACCATCGCACCTCTACACCGACCGAAGAAAGGTTTTACAATCAAAAACTAGTATCATCATAAGCACCACCCACGACTATCGACAAGAATTGAGAATTGTAAATGTGGCGTCGGATCCGGATAGCGATAGGGAGGGAAGTAGTATTCTGTTATCGGAGGTGGTGGAAGAGCAGCCAAGAGAGGTGTTGACGGGTAGGAGGAAATGGAATGCTTTGGACATCACCACCGCCGGAGTGGTGGCGGGAATGCATTTGCTATGTGTTTTTGCTCCATTTACTTTCAGTTGGGGAGCTTTATGGCTGGCGTTTGGGTTGTTTATGGTTACTGGGCTTCTCGGAATTAGTCTTTCCTTCCATAGACATTTATCACATAAAAGCTTCAAGATCCCGAAATGGCTTGAATACACGTTTGCTTATTGTGGAGTTCATGCCCTTCAGGTGAATTAATTAGCCTTTTTAATCCAAAATACTTTTAGAGCAAACTTATACGTAATAATAGAAATATAATAAGTTTGTTACATGAAATGATTTAAAAAATATGTTATAGTTGATAGAAATGATAAAATTATGATGTTGATATATTTTTTATTGAGTTTGATAAAAGGTTGTGTCTGATTCGATCAAATTCAGACT